AACGTCATGAGTCTACTATCAGTCCGGAAAGAAGAAGCCTCAGACCTGGAAAGAACTGGCGAAAGAAACTCAGCGTTACTAATATTAACTCGCTTTCATTTTTTTTCGATCGATTATGATCGATTACGAACGTTAAAAAAATGTTTCTTCTTTTATTTATTTTTTTATTATTTGTTGTTATAGCGCCAATAGAAATACAGATTCTGTGAAAATTTCAACTCTGCCAATTACGGTTCATGAGATACAACCCTCTGACAGACAGACGGACGCACGGACGGACAGCGGAGGCTCATAGGGTTCCCTTGGCACCCTTCGGGTACGGAACCCTAAAAACGACTTTAAAATAAAAGAAGAAAAAAAAAACTATTCGCGTGTATGTTTTTAGTATTTAATGCGATATCTTATTAATTAATTGTTATTTTTTAAAGACTTCATAGGTTAGAACTTGGAGGTGGTGCAAGTTTCAAGAAACATTCCGCCCGTAATCGTAGAACGGATACCTTTAAAATGATTATATACTCGTAGTCGGCGTATATTTTTACTTAAAAAGGTATTTGTAGGTACAGTTTTTTTTTTTACTTTTTACATTTTTCTTTTATCTAGCCATCTAAGTGCAATAGTGTCGCTCGACTGGCCTTATCTATTATACTATTTTATTTTGCACTATTAATATTTTAGGTGATATATCGGCTTTTAGACGGCGCGCCTATACCGTAACGAACTCGTGGAGCCCTATTTTCACCATTAAAAAAAATATAAATAATAGAGATATTTCCATGAGTTAAGATTTTTTTATTGGAAATTTCCTTCCCTTTCAAAATTTCTTAAAAGTCATTATCTTAGAAGTTATTAACGAAAAACTTAATACCTTTTTTTATATTATTTTGTTAATAACAATCGCAATTATTTATGTGCAAATAAACCCCAAAAACATTTTTCTAGACGTCATTCCGAATCGAATGAGCTATCACACATATTTTTAGGAGCTTTATTTCTATTTTTTGAATACTTTTTTGAACTTGTTGACTTGACTATACAGTCAAAAATATAATATGTATTTATATCAACATTTTTATTTAATCCATACTAATATCATAAAGAGGCAGAGTTTGTTTATTTGTTTATTTGAACCCGCTAATCTCAAGAACTAATCCGTTTTGATATATATATATATATATATATATATATATATATATATATATATATATAGTCTATCTATTCTACACTAACTGTAATAACGTACCATACTTTAAGTAGTATACTTAAAAGTGGCCCAGGGCAATGTTAAAACGTTGCTATACTGAATTCAACTGTTACCATTATTACTTTTTCGTTTTATTTCTGCATGACGAGTGTCGTTTTCGTGACATAGACATTACAAGGCAATTTCCTTTACAGCCGAAGTAAAAGAAAGTCTTTTTATCGCGTACAAGTCTGTGACGTAAGTTAAAATTTCTAACAATTACCATTCTTCGTTTCTTTTTTCGATGTAATTTTGGTCAAACATTATATTGATTAAAATATATGTATATATTTAAATACACTGGACTACAAATTGTAAATATGAAAGTTTGTATGTGTTTATAGGTGTATGTGTATTTTTGCTGCCTCGGTAGTCTAGTGGCTAGCATGTACGGTCACAGATCCGGAGGTCTGGCGTTCGAGTCCCGGGTCGGGCCAAGTTAGTTATTGAATTTTTCTATCAAGAAATTGTCAGTAACAGCACGGAGTTGGGAAGTTGGCAGCGTTTCACCTCTGTGCCTCCACCTCCCCTGTGCCACCCTGGGAAGGACATAGGATACTTTTTATCCCGGAAATCATCTCTTAAGGGGGTGAAAATGGGGATGAAAGATCGTATATGGAATAAAGCTAGGGACGAACCCGAGCGAAGCGAGGGTGAGTCGCTAGTTAAAATATGTTTAAGTATTTCCTTCGTATTATTAAAACAAATACACATTTTGAAAATGTAAAGTGTGTACGTTATAGAAAACGTATAGTTTTGTTATTATTATAAACCTGATGAACTTCCTTGAATTATTTACGCCGCACTAAGGGTTTATTAAATTTTAGAGATCATTTTGGTTTTTTTTTCTATCGAGGAAACTACAAGTAATCGTGTTTCTAAAGTGTAAGATTTATATATTAAATGCATAAATATCCTACATATTAATTTCATAATTAAAGTTTAAGTAATAACAATACAGCAATGGATCAAACGAACGCAAATATTTCGTAAGCCACACTATAATTTTTACTTGAAAATACTATCACATACACAGATATTGCGTTTTTGTTTCCAAATCTAGATTTAGCTCGAGCAAAAACGTGTAATGAATTCGTAAGTGTGCAATAACTAGAAAACAGATTTGTGGTTTGTGTTTGTAAGTTCAAATGAGGTTTGCCGAAAATTTAATAAATTCTACTACTCCATAAACTATTTGCCTGAGTTTGCAAATACTAATTGGAATGAGTTTCGAACAGCCGTACATGAGCGTCGACTTCATGTTTATTTGTTCCAGTTCCAAGCCAGATATGATTGAGAATTGTCCTAATGATTTATTATTACAACTGTGTTGTTATATTCGATAACTTCATTTATTATTTATAAAAAATGTTTGCTTATTTATGACATGTTTTTATTGTTTAACCTTTCAATATAAAACAATATTCTGACAGGCTATTCTTATAATGGTAAAAGTAGCTATTAATCCTTCAACGACCGCGGACACTCCGGCGTTACAGTTAACAATAGATTTCTTAGAAATTAAATTAATTTCTTAGAAATTTACCTGGAAGTGTTCAATATTTTTTTTTAAGAAATCAAAACTCTAAGGGTGTGAAAATTAGATTAGGCAATGGTAGCCCAGTAGTAACGCGCTTGCTTGGGAAACCGAGTGAAGCGTCTTACAAATCCCGGGTCTCGCACCTCTGATATTTTCACGTGCGAATCATTTCTAACATGATTACCACTTGCCTTACGGTGAAGTGAAACATCGTAAGGAATCCTGCATGACTGAGAGAACCTAGCAAGTTTTCGAAAGACATGTGAAGTCCGCCAACCCGCACTTAGCCAGCGTGGTGGACTATGGCCTGATCTCCCTCATATTGAAGGGAGGCCCGTGCTCAGCAATGGGACATTAAAAAGGACTGAATACAAGGGTGTGAAAAAGGGTGAAAAATTACTATGAGAAAAATATTTTTTCAGTGACAGATAGAACAAAATTGGGACAAGTAGCTAGTTTATTAGTATATTAATTTAATGTTTAGGAAGACAGGCAATTTATTTTGTACCAAACTAATTTAAAATAACATTGCACGTTAATGGTCTTCGTATCTAGTAAAACTATGTGAAAGGTAGGTAGGTACATTTAGAAATGTGACTACTATAATAATTGCGATAGTTTGTGTGTATGTGTGTATATTTGTTACTTCTTCATAACTTAGACGACGATTGACGATATGTTTGACACAGTTTGTAGTGACCCTACTTGTTCTGCCAGCGGTCGCGGATACGAATCCCACTCGGGGCATTCATTTGTATGATTTACTAATGTTTGTACTCCAGTCATGGGTGCTTATATTTATAATATGTATGTATTTAAAGTTATATATGTGTAGTGTATGAACTATCTAGTATCGTATCCATAACACAAGCCTTGTAGTTTACCATAGAACTAGATGGTGCTGTGTTAATGTCACTACATATTTATTTATTAATATTTATTTATTCTTCACGCTAAACCGGCTTGACGAATTTCGATGAAAGCGAAGCGAGGGCGAGTCGCTAGTTTTGAACATTACATAATAATATGTCAATTCATTAAATAATTTATCTTGAGCGATAGTCAAATCTGTGATATTTTACATTGACTAATATACCGCAGAAAAGCCCAACGTACCTTGACCATTTTGTTACAAGTCTTACTTCAGTTAATAATTACATATACTATAGTTACAAGATCTCAATCTGTTCCACAAATATTTCATTAAATCAGTCCTCCAGGACTGTGACCATTATATTAAATTGAAGCCAAACAATCGGAGACAACGTCACAATGGTTCCAGTGATTGGAATTCCAATTTAGTAGCATTATAAGTTAATTCTGTTCGCTTTGTTATAATGCTTCCAATACAATCAATGGCTCTGTACTTTTCACTGTTTTAGATATATTTGCCATTTTCACTTTCCTTTGCAGATTAAATAGAGAATATATATTGATTATCCGCTAATATCCATTAATCACTTGGTGAGATTAAATTAAGATGAGAATCGAATCTGTGATATCTTGAGAATTGATAGGGATTGCAGGTAGTAAGAATGAGATATGCTCGACTAGGCCCTGATGCTTATTTGTTTATCTTTTATCTTTATCGTTTTAGCAACGAGTTTTGCTTTAGCTGCGAGTTTTTTTTACGCGAATTTTGAACAAATAATAATTCATTGTTAACACACATTCTAATAATTAGGATTTTATCATTGCCTCAAACATAATAAAATAGACAACATATTTTGTCTATTATTCGTTTTGTTTTTTGTTTGATATCTGATAATATCTATATAAGTATACTAGCGCTCACCCTCGCATCGCTCGGGTTCTTCCCTAGGTTGATTCGTTATACAAAATTTAATCCCCATTTTCACCCCCTTAAGAGATGATTTGGGTAGATGAAAAAGTATAATGAGAGATGAAAAAGTATTTTATGTTGTTCCCAGGGTCTCAAACTATCTTTTTACCAAATTTCATCTAAATCGGCTTAGTAGATCCAGAGATTCCTGAGATCCTTTACCTCTTTATAACATTAGTAAAGATAAGAAGGAAAGTGTAGTTTTAGGTTTATTCTGTATAGTTTTGAAATATGCAATGTTTTGAATTTCAATCTTCCAGGGCCAATTTGTTTAATTAATTTCCCATAATTTAATTATGTCTAGACATAACAAATAAATGGTAATAAGTACTAAAATTTTGATTTCTTTACAGACATTTAGTTATTGGTGAAATATGAGGCAAGGAGCAAGCGGGGCAAAATCCGCGCTGTGGATATCTCTTCTGCATGGATGCCTTTTTTTCATCGGTATGTATGTTACTTGTGTTCATTATGATGAGATAGGAAGGCTTTAAAAGGTCATGGGCGCCATTTACCTCAACACGATAAGCTTTTTACAAAAGCTATCATTTTAAGCTTTATCTTTTGCGTGTTAAATAGACACCGAATTTATAATATTTATATCAATTTTATAATTTTACACTTAAATACTATTAATTTACTATGGACGTTAAACTATTATTCATAATAATACTTTTTTAGATTTACGAATTGTAATATTTGGAATAGTAACAGCTAAAATTAAATAAATAATATTGCTATATTTCATTGTAATATTAATATATTTTTTTAAATGTTTAGAAATAAATCAACAACTATTGTAAGGTTCTTTAGCGCCATTTTTGAATTTTTGAAATCATTTTTGTAAAATAGTGGGTAGGCAATGTCTGTAATAATAGTATATGTGTTTGAGACGTCTATAACCTTAGTCTCTCCTGTGACCATGATTGCTTAATGTTTGACATTTTTAAATCAAACTATATTTTCGGCTTATTTCGCGGATTTATTTTGATTTTTGGTTCGGATGCTGTAAAGCATTCGAAACATCGGGAACCAAAAATCAAAATAAATCCGCGAAATAGTCCGAAAAGACAGTTTTATTTACCATGATTGCTGTAAAGCATTCGAAACGTCGGGAAACAAAAATCAAAATAAATCCGCGAAATAATCCGAAAAGATAGTTTTATTATTCATAATCTTTAAATAGTATACCATAAATACAGTATTTCTGTCTATTTTGGGTATATCATTATATAAATATATAAATAATTCACCCCTTCAGCGTACAGCCCACAAAGCCTACACCCACCTTTCAACGTGAGGGCTTAGCTCTGTAAAAACACACTGAATTGTTTTTATTATTGTTGACAACTTCTTCACGTATCGAAATTACCATAGCATTTTTTGTTTAAAGAATTTACCAATAAATAAATATTCGTATAAAAATTTATAATACTAGAAAAAAGCATGTAATACTATAAGATTAAAAATAGAAAAAAATCACATTATATTTATATTACGTATTAAGATTTTACTGCGGATTCCATTTGGTTGTTTTCCTTCAATTTCAACCTTTGATTTCGTCATGAAATTGACTACTGTTTAGAAACAGGGAAAACGAACGTGCACCCAATACCTGTCATTTATACCAAATTTAATGTTAAAAAATTATAATATTAATATATAATTAATATTATATCCCCATACAAACTTGTATCCCGATTTTCACCCCCCTAAGGGATGATTTCTGAGATAAAAAGTATTCTATGTCCTTCCCTGGGTCTCAAAATATTTTCTTACTAAATATCATCTAAGTCGCTTCAGTAGATCCAGAGATTACCCCCCACAACGTCACAAACTCATAAACTCACAATTCACAAACTTTACCTCTTTATAATATTAGTATAGATAAACGGAATGTAAAATAGTTATAAATATCCATCTTCATTAATCGTGTTTCAATTAATATAGAAGACGTCTGGTCGCGAATTCATTTTGTCTCTGTCGCTTTTCCGCCATTTCCAGCTGATGGCTGACAAAGAAACACTCAGTCCACTCACAATGTCTATGGCATTGACGAAATGATATTTTAATAAATGAATAAATAAGGCAAACAGTAGATTAAATAGTAATAGCAATTCAGCACTTTTAATTTTCCACTGTTGAACACGGACGTTTCTTCAATTCGAGAGAATCAGACCATAGTCCACCACGCTGGCCAAGTGCGGTTTGGTGGACTTCACACGTCTTTCGAAAACTAATTAAATTTGGAAAATGATAATCCTTCACCATATTTACAAGTGGTAATCATTTTAAATAAAACTATATTTTCGGGTTTTTTCGCGAATTTATTTTGATTTTTGGTTCCCGACGTTTCGAATGCTTTACAGCAATCATGGTCACGGGAGAGACTGAGGTGTTAGATGTCTCAAAGATATTATATAGTTGTTACAAACACCCTACCCACAAATTACAAAATGAATTCAAAAAATTGAAAAATGGCACCGAAGTACCTTACAATATTATTAACTTTAAACATTTTTATAATTTTAATTAGTTATATAATTCAATATGGAATATTATTTATTAAATTTACATACATTTACAAATGAAAAAATGAATAATATTAATTTGAAATGCTGTCATTAAGATCCTCACAGTAAGAACTTACTAAAAAGGGTTACTTACTCTATGGAACTTATCTGTCTTGTGTTGTCTGTTATATTTAGATTTATTATTTGACTTTATTATATTAATAACAGGATCCCATGACGATGGTAGTACCCAGCCATCGTCATGGGATCGTCGGGAACCAAAAATCAAAATAAATTCGCGAAAAAATCCAAATAGATAGTTCCATTTAAAATGTCAAATATTCGCGTAAATCTAAGAAAGTATTAAGTGGTAATCATGTTAAAAATTATTCTTATATTGAAATATCAGAGAAATGAGACCCAGATTTGAACCCACTTTACTTGAATATTCAACTGAGAGTATTACCAATGGGCAACCAGTTCAAGAGTAACTTATATAATGTGTATAATTAATTACTCAATATGCTTTCGAAGGAAAGTATCATTTCTCTAACAAAATACGGGTCTAACACGTAACAAATGCTAAGCCTGATATTATTGTATCCTTGCCAAATAAAAGCACGGTCCGATTTCCTTTCACGAAATGATGTTTTGTCGTAAATCATACTTCGCCTTGGAGGCTCGTTGTATGTATTTATTTCTTTTCGGTCGACTGACTTTGAATGAGAGAGGCTCAATAAGATTTTGTATAAAGTTGAATGAATGAAGTAGGACGCTTTTGTTTCTTATAAAAAGCCTGAGGATTATTAATTTTTATATAACTTTTTACTATTTATATGTATATGATTTAAAAAATGTCTATTTATAGCGTCTTGTTATAATTAAACACTATTCAAAATGATTATGTGTATACATATAATAAAATTGTGACTAAGTCGAATCTGTACTTATCTGAAAATCTGATTGAAATAGACATTATTATCGATACAGAGTTCGAATTTATAGTTTTTAGAATTTTTGTCTGTCTGTCTGTCTGTCTGTCTGTCTGTTACCGCATCACGAGAAAACTACTGGACAGATTTTGATGAAGTTTGGTATGATGATAGCTGGTTATCTGGGTCAACATATAGGATACTTTTTACCACAGGAAAATATTTCATTTTTTAGAAAAAATACAAAAACTGCAATGTAAGAGTATTCTAATATGTAAAACCTAAGAATTTGGTTTTTGGTCATCTGGACGCGGGCGGAGCCGCGGGCAATGCTAGCCTTATATAAAATATTAAAGTCAGGCATATCATATTATAGAATTCACGTAATTTGGTAACTATAACCAGCAGTCTCTTGGTAAATTCCAATTTACTATTGTTACTTATAACTTAGTACGCAGTGCGCAGACTCTCTTAGGCACGAGGATGATATGAACATATTATTCTGTTTAAATTTTATTAATCACAAAATGTAAGTAGTCTCTCGATGTTAAATACGAATTAAATCTTTAATGTAGCTAAATGACTAGTAATTCACGTAAATTAAGCAGGATAATCTTCCAGCCCACTTAATCCATAGCTTTCACCAATTTCATAAGCCTTGTCTCAATTGGCAATATCTGCAGGCGGATTTTGAAGGTTGCTTTCTAATGAAACTACGCCTGCTCAATTGGATTTAAAGGCATTGTTTGCAAATTTTACTTTAATCACATTAAAACATGAAGTTTATCTAATATTTAGCTTTATTCTGTTCAGATGCTATCTGGAAATAATTCATATCAAACATTCAGACTCATTTTCTGGTGTTGCTTTCGCTTTTGCTACTTATAGTGTTTGAATGTCGTAAAATAGGTCTTTAGGATAAGATTATAAAATTACCTTCTTATTTTTAAGCTGGATCTGGAACAGATGCACCTGTAGATAATACAACAATGGACATATCCTCTCAAAGATTCCGAGCAGAGTTCCTCCAAGAATGGCACGGCTCACCAGATGCACCGTACTTTGATCCTAGCACGCCAAGAAATATCACTGGGCTTGTTGGACATCCAGTAAGACTTCTATGTAGAGTAAAAAATCTTCAAAACAGAACTGTAAGTATAGCTTTTTCTTTTAATAAGACTTTTAAATCTAGATATTATCTCTATACCAATTATTTTACTAGCGACATACCCTCGATTCGTACTAAGGGAGGGAGGTTTTGCACGGAACCATAACTTTTTTCTAAAATAAAGCAGCCTAAGTTACTACTTATAACATGAGCTACTTGTCCACCAAAATTGACCCAGCCAGCCGTTTCGGAGATTAGGCGGAACAAACAAACAGATAGGCAGACAAAAAAATTTAAAATTGTTTTTTTCTTATAAGAGCCGTATATTCTTTCACATGCATTTAGTTATTATTGCTGTTATTTGAACATAGCATAGCTGTTATTTGAACATAACATAGCTGTTATTTTGACATTACGAACGGACACTTCAATTTTATTTATTTGTATATATAGATTAGAATTATTCGTATAAATATTTTAAATTCGAAAGTTTATGAGTATGGTTGTTTGTTACTCTTTCACGCCAGAACGGCTGAACGTATCTGGATGAAATTTGGCACAGAAATAGATTATAGTCTGGAATAACACATAGGCTACTTTTTGTCCCGAAAAAATGCACGATTCCAGTGGGATAGGTTTATTTTTGTTTGGCAGAAAATAAAAAAAAAGAAACTATGATTCTATCGCTACTCAAGTATCTAATTAATTGATAAAGTAAGCTTCATAAATATATGTACAAGTATAACAATCTTTTAATCCGAGTTAATTAAAATTTATACGTACTGTTCTAATTTCATAATAATTTATTTGTCTTCAGAGCCTTTTTATATTTTGTTCTAATTAGTTGCTTTGATCAACCCAGTTTTAAAGTAGCTTGTTACTCTGGACTTACATCCCATATTTTCGAAGATTTCATTGCTTCGCTTTCTAGAGTACACTTAGCCTAATTTCGTTCCTGTACAGAAAGGTTACGGAAGTACCAATTCAGAAATAATTTAATTTGAAGTTACAATAAAGGCTATAACAAAAAAATACTATTATTCATGAAATATAATTAAAGCGAATTTTACCTAATTTTATTGTTTCAAGGATGCAGTATTTATATTTTAAAGTTAATGTTAGTTTATGTAGTCAAAATATTATTCTACAGGTAGGTACGTATATCATAGTATAATTTAAATACCTAATAATATATATATATATATATCAGCAGTACGGTAGACGTACAGCGCCGACCCCAAGTAATTTGGGAAATGGGCAGAAAGAAGAAGAAGATAATATATACACATAATATTATTATATAAAAATATTAAAAATAAAGTGTCATGATTTTGAGATATTTGTGTTCTAATATCTAGCAAATGTACACTCTATGGCGCAATATTGATGATATATTTTATTTTTCTAAGTTTCATGGTTTATATCCAAGAAATAAAAGAATTTAATTGAATATAGGAATGAAACGGACAGTAAACTCAATTCCAAATTATATTATATTACACTCATTTCACTGAAACTTATGATAAATTACAATTTTAGCTTTACTTCGCGTTTGAAAAAAATAAAATACGTCAAAAATAAAATAAGTCTTAAGTGGTTAAAAATTATATTTGAAATATTTATTTCCTGTTTTGTACAGGATTTCTGTTTTAAATGTATAATATGATTTAAAAATTAACAAGAACAGGGAGTTTTTTTCCAAACCACAACTCTACCGCTAACGTTTTGTATTTTATTGTGTATAAGATAAATTCAAAAAACAAATTCAATTTAACCATTTCCTGAGCAGCGTCAATTGTATAGACGCCCATAACTTGTCAACTAAACCTCAGCCAAAAAATATTGTGTGCTCATATTAATACTTTCTAGAAGTATTATTAGACCAAATATCAACGAATACCAGACCCTCGAATGTTTTTCGCCATCCGCTTCAACACATATAGTTATATACTCGTAGTTTTGTTGTGCATCGCAAGCTTAGAAAAAAAAAGCCAGGGATTAGAAACACGCCACAAAGGTTCTGTACCCTTTTTATATACAAAAATTTCTGATGGTTGAAAATCAGTCATTAGTTAAAAAGTTTTATTATTTGTACTATAAATACGCACGGCATTAAGTGCATTTTCTAAAATATTTCTACCGATATTATAGACCATTATGCATGCAGCTATCGCGTCAACGCCATCTTTATTTTAAGTAAAAGAAAATATCTCGAAGAGTAGCCCTAATTAGGCCCTATATAGCAATTAGGGCTTTTCTCCCTAACCTATCATCACTATCATACTATGATATCACCAGTAATTTTAAAAAATGACAACAGACATCTGATAAAATCTAAATCAACTATAACATATTATAAATAATAAAAGATACGATGGATATTGTGATTGTTTATTGAGAAAAACCAATCAATACGTTTTGTAGTCACTTAGATCCGCCAAACTAAACCTAAGATTACATATAATGTAATAAATTGAAGCCATGTTTATTCCGAGCAAACATAAAATGGTCTGGGTTATGGGCTCAAGAGGTTTTATATTTATGATTAGCTTCGCTGATAGCGATCGTTTCGGCTCTAAAGTGTACTCTTAAGTATCCGCATTGATGACGCGTAAACTCAAAATATCTCCGAATTCTATTATAAAACTTTTGTAAATTTAGTATGAACATTAACTTTTGAAGTTTTATCACAGCAATATGAAGATATTGGTGAACATTATTACTTCATACAATATATCTCAGTTTAGATAACTACATACAAAAATGTTTATATGTATGTATTTTAGTACAATACAAGCCAGAACAATGAACGATATTTTAGAGTTCTTAAGATAAAACTAATTTATGGCATACTCAAATATTCGGCAAACAGGCCAAGAAAGATAACAATAACGAATTTGATGAATTTTACTCATAAAACTCCACTTTGCATATTATCCATATTCTACCGCATCGAAGTTATGAAAGTAATTGTAATTTATTCAAAACTTTGTAAATGATTCTTTAATGTTTTTACAAAGACGATGGTACTTCTATTGGTATTATATAGTACAAGCATGGCTGAGTCGTGCTATAAAATATCTCTTTAGTATCTATACTGTTGAACTTTTAATATTATATTTTAGCCTTCTTTGCTTACTCACAAGAGTACCTTATGTTGTTTTATGTAAAAGTTAACCCTAAACTCAGAAGTGTTACGTTACTAGGTTTTCAGTGTGTTAGGTACACTTTCATTTTAAAGTGTTAAGACACTCTAATGAGTAATGAAATGAAATGAAATATTCTTTATTGCACACCATTATTTTACATTATATAGTTGAAACAGATTAAAGGAATATAGTACAATAGGCGGCCTTATCGCTAGAAAGCGATCTATTCTAGGCAACCTTTGGGTAGAGAGAAAGAAGAGAGAAGGAAGGGGTGCAAACAATCTTAAAGAGAGGTACTATAAATACATACATATACAAACAGATATATACATATATACCATATATATACATACATACATACATACACACATACATACATACATATATACATACATACACATATATAAACATTATACATATAAAATAAAATATGACACCATTTAGCACTTATAAGTTAAGATAATATTCATTTATTAATTTTTTAAATAGTGACAGCGAATCAGTCTGTTTTACTTTATTTGGTAACGAGTTCCACAGACGGACAGATTGGACAGTAAAGGAGCGAGTATAGAAGGAAGAAGAGTGTGAAGGAACTTGTAAAGTTAGATTAAGGTTAGAACGAAGAGAAAAATGGTGAGAATCACTTAATAATTTAAACCTATCTTTAAGATACTGCGGTGTACAGGGATTAAATAGAATATTATATAAAAGACAAAGAACGTGAGTATTTCTGCGAAGACGGATAGGGAGCCACTTGAGCTTTTTACGAAATTCGGAAACGTGGTCATATTTACGAAGTCCAAATATGAACCGAATGCAGAGATTTTGAATTCGCTCAAGTTTATTTAACTGTTCCTCTCTTAAATCGAGGTAACAAGTATCAGCATAGTCAAGAATTGGTAATAAAAGAGTGTTAGCCAAAGCAATTTTAGTGGGAATGGGTAGAAAGTTGCGTAAGCGACGTAATGATGCAACGGCAGCAAACATTTTTCTGCTCATTTCGCCCACCTGTGACTTCCAAGATAATGTCTCGTCCAATATAATACCTAGATTTCTCACTTTATCGCTGTAAGGAATTTGTATACCGTCAAGCATAATAGGTGGCAATTGTGATAAAGATATTTTTGATTTTAATTTTGAACTACCTATAATTATAGCTTGTGTTTTACCTGGATTCACTATTAAGCCTAATGATTTACTTTTTTGCGAAATATTAAGTAGGTCAGTATTAATATGATCGATGGTTTGAGTTAAGTTTAATACGGTCGTTTGGCGGTAGATTTGTAGATCATCTGCATAGAGGTGGTAGGGAGAAGAAATATAGTTACAGAGAGAGTTAATAAATATAGAAAATAAAAGAGGAGACAACACGCCACCTTGAGGAACACCGGCATGTAGCGAAATCCATTCAGAGCAAGAATCGTGAATACGGATTCGTTGCCGGCGACCATACAAGTAATTGTGAAACCAGTCAATCACATCTGGAGATATGTTAAGAGAACACAATGTAGCAAGAAGAATATCAAAATCAACAGTGTTAAAAGCGTTACTAAAATCTAATAGTGTCAAAACTGTGACTTGTTGATTTTCCATTCCTAGTCTGATGTCATCTGTTATTTGAATTAAGAGACTCATTCAAAGATGGGATACTGTGGAAGCTATTATCGCTACTTTGGTCGTTGAAAGAAGATACGGAAAGATCAGTGTCATCATAAATATTGTTACACATTTAATAAAAAAAAAATGTGTCTATATAAAAAGTATTAAGTAATAAAATAAATAACAAATACAATAAAAAAATAAAATAATAATAACAAATAGATATATATATATATATATACGTAAGTATTTAAGACAATATATATATTAAAAAAAATAAATAAAAAAAAATTATCATCACCCACCTGCCAGTTGCATAAAAGTATTTGTATATAATTTATCGCTAAACTATATTTATATTTAGTAAACAAAATGAGCACAATAAAACAAAAAGTTATCATTATAAATACCTAAGTTAAGTAAGTACAATAATTAACATACTAATTTTACCCAATAAGTACACAAAATATTATAACAAATAAAAAAAAAAAAAAACCGTATTTATCCTTTACCTTGAGCAAAAAGCCACGCATCAAACTAACAATTAACGTTGCATACAATAATTTAATCTGTAGACTATTTATACAATAGATTATCTGCAAATGTAATCAGTCATGGGTAAAATATATGGTCATATTATAATAATTTAGAAGTAATTATGTTTTAAATGAAAAAAAAAGAAACAGTATTAAACAATTTAAATTTTAAAGAAAAGGCTTTCTACTTCTTCACAATTCTTTTGGATCGCGGCGCAAGTACTTTTTCACCTGGCTTGTTGACGGTAGCAACAACAGCTTGTGAAGGAGACTTAGATGTTGTTATACTGTCTAACTCAGTCAAGCACTCAACTCGATGGCGAGATCCATTTGGAGCTATAATATTGACACATCCATCCCACGTCCAGCACTTACCGATGCCAAAGCGCTGCCGTGCCTCCATAAATAGTGTATGTCGTGATTTGGTTAAAAACTCCGATTGTGTGACACCTGTTCCTTTTAATTTAGTTTTTAAAAACCAAACCTTATCACGAACTGCAGCATCCATGAATTTGATGACTACGGGTCTAGGTCTCTTATCTGTTGGTCGACCTAGACGGTACAGTGACTTAATGCTCGTACTAGAGAAATTCGGTAAATCCAAATGCCGAGAAACTAGTTCGGTGACTTTTAATAAAATGTCTTCCGACTTCTCTTCAGTGATGCCATGGAAAAGTAACGTTTTACGTCTCCTACGCATTTCTTGACGATCAATCTCGAGACTAAGTAATTCGACTTGTCGTTGCAAGGTGTTGAGTGCTGATAGAATGAAGCTTTTAAAAGTATTGAAATCAGCTGCCAAAGAAGTCGTAGTCACTGGAGTGGTGTTTTTATGGAGTTCTTGCTGGAATTCACTCATCTTAACATTAAACATCTCAGTCATTGCAGAAAGAGATTCCTTGATGGTTTCCATGCTCATTGTTTACTTAATTAATGTTGAAATGTGAACGAATCAAAGGAGTTCAACTTACTGGCGGGTAACAAAGTTTAGTCAAACATATGGTTTGTAAAAAACACCAATAAAAATATTTTTAACTATTTTTAAATAAAATTTTTGCTGAGGGATAAAAAATCGCTGTTTACTTTTCACCTCCTACCCACGAAAAAAAAAAAAAAAAAAAAAAAAAGTAATGTACATAGTATTATACTGTAAGAATATTAAAGATCCGGAAAATGTACATATTTACGCCATTTACCGTCTCATAAATGTTTGCAAAAATTATTTGAAAAATTTTTTTTTCAATTTGTTGCCCTCTAACACTAATAAAACTTCGAGATATTCCTTGCACATATTTTCCTAAACAGTACTTTTGCAACATCCACTTAATTTTTTTTATAATAGTATGTTTGTGTGAAAGCTACCGCTAAGTTCAGGAAGCAGTTCTGTTGAGAAGAGTCGGCGAGAACCTCAACAGTTGCTGTTACAAATACAGTATTACAATCAATTCATAACCAATTACTACAAGGTGGTATCGATATCGACAAAATCATGGGAAAATATCAAAATCGGCTTTTCAGATTTCTAAAATATTTTTCTATCAGCCAAGGTAGCATAAATAAATGCTTTAAACATAATAGATTAATCGAATATATTAATTTCTTTTATTAAAACTCACTCACATATAAAATTGTAACCTTATATTACTAAAAAAATATATGTAAAATCCCTCCAATTACTATTAAAAAAAAAAGATGTCATTCAAAGGTCCTAATTTTATAATTTATTTTTTAAGATTATTAACATTTTTCACAATTTTATAAGGAATTTATATTAGACAATAATCCTCATGTTTTAATTTTATTAAATACTTTTCGTTGCGAGAGCCTCTTGAGTCAGCTATTTTTATTAAAACATGGTCCAAAACAGACTCCTGCCCCGAAACTCTATAATTTGAAGAATTTAGATACTTAAAGCTGTAACCTAATAGACATCTTTAATGTAAGGCGGTTATTTAATTTTTAAAAGAAAATAGACCGTTTCTAGGCAGTATATAATATATATACATTATACTATATTACAGAAAATTTTGCCATATGTTAGAGATTTGTGTCATCATTCTAATACGATGAACCTGCATTAATAAAACGTAGATTCGTTCTCGCTTAGGGTATTTTTTATTAGTTTTATAAAATTTGAGACAAGTGTATTTTTGCAACTGCAAAATGAATGCAACTGGGTCAATCTTTCGTCCTTATGAAATATTATAACAGGTAAAGTTAATGAGTTTGTGAGGTTGTAATGAGGTAAACTCTGGACCTACTAAACCGATTTAGATGCAATTTTGTAAGAAGATAGTTTGAGTACCTGGAAAGGACATAGGTTACTTTAATAAATCATCCCTTAAGGGGCTGAAAATGAGGATAAAAGTTTGTATTACTTCTACGAATTTACTCATTAATACTAAATTGTTTTACTCACAAATATGGATGTAATAAAAATTATTATTGTAAATAAATGCTATAAAAATCTATTGATGTTTAGGGTTAACTGATTAAAAAGTAAAAAATGTCTAATAACTTCGTCTTGTACGTCTGTTTGTAAGCCAGCCTTTTCAGTTGAAAACTATTGATATAGCTCTTTGATAGGAAGATGTCTATTCGAGACCGAACCGAGATAATGATGAGGATTGGATATCTTATAGATGTTTGTAAACAAGTTTATTTACTTCTATAGTTGCTGAGTTCTAACAGTTTTATTATAGTTGTAAGACCCCTCTCCCTCTTCCCCTCTCGATATTAAATCTCCCCCTGGATATTATAATATGGAGTAGGAAATTCAAAATGCCACTAGTACTTTTAAATTATTTTCAAAGAAAATTGATTTGAAAAAGATAATTTTCATTTAATTTGATTTTAAGATTACGTTGAGGATTTTTGAGACATAGGAGTTTTCGGTTACAAATGTTAGTTTAGCGGTCGTTAGTAATAAGTGTATTTTTCATGGTATATATTATCCACTTAATGATAGTAATATAATTAAAAAAGACTATGAAAAGATCATTGGTATTTAATGTTATTGCATTTATTAAAAGAACTTATAGATTTTGTTCAACTTATACTCAAGTATCAATCTACCTGCTTTCAGAAAGGCTTACAGCTTTATAACAGCAGCTTTTCAAAATAATATGTTGAATCATTATTTACAAATTATTTTTAATAACTGAAAACTCACTTAAATCTTTTACTAATTTAATAGCCTAGATCTTAAGTAAAATTGAATTTCGTGTTATTTCAGCACGAGAAACAGTTAACTATTACTCGTTAGTTAAGTGCTCTTTCTGAAACATTAATTTCTCTTTGAACGGACAGTGTTAAAGTATTTCACAGTCTTTGCTTTCGTATTACGTTAGTGATATTTTACTACTTAGGATATCCATGGAATTATTAATTCCAATTTTAGCTACTTACAGATATTATGTTGTAAATCTGCTTTGTTTGTTTAGTGAATAACTTGTAGTGCAGATCAAGAGGTCCTGGATTCGAATCTTGAGCCGAGTATAGTTATTGATTTTTTTTGCCAAAGAAATTCAATTCAATTGTTTCTTCAAAGCGTGCCAGTTGAGCACAGATTACTTCACCAATGTCACGTAGACCAAATAAATCAAAAATTATCAGTATTTGGGAGTTCGTGGCGCAACAGCTCCGTGTCTTGGAGAAAGGATGTTAGCTTGTCAGACCTTCCGCCTAATCTTTCGCTAGCCATATATCGGCCATATACAATAGGCAGTGCATATGCAATGGCGTAGACGTTAGTTCACTAAAATAATTCCCATGGATATAGTCTCCTAGGATAGTTTATTACAATTAAGCCGATAACCGAAATTGGTCAGAATGACATTAGATATATTTTAATTAGATTCAATTACTTGCTAGAATAGAAAAAAATATATAATATGAAAACTCAGAATTTTTCTTTTACCAGGTAAAGGCAAAGAAAAAAAATTATTACGACAAACATTGCTCTTTCCAAGATTTAAACAAAACTTTACGCATAATAAAGTGCCTATTAGTCACTCGATTCGTATTCAAAGTCAAATGACTTGGTATTTTATTCTGTGTATTATGTAATATATATACTTTTAATGTACGTAAAAAATTTTTATTGATGGTGTAGGTCTCATGGGTGCGGCACCGTGATATCCACCTCCTCACTGTTGGGCGGTACACCTACACTTCAGATCAGCGTTTTGAAGCTCAACACAAACCAAGGTCTGAAGAATGGGCTTTGAGGATACGCAGCCCTCAAAAACGAGATTCGGGACAATATGAATGTCAAATATCCACTACTCCGCCTATTGGTCATGCTGTATTCCTTAATATTGTTGGTAAGTTAAAGTAATGATAATGAAATTATTCTTATAGATTTTATACATTTTGTATAAATATTTATTTTTAAATTATATGAACTTTAAAGCCAGATAAAGGCAGTGGTAACCTTGTGGTAATGCGCTAGCTTGGAAAACCGAGTGTAGTGGGTTCACTAAAGACATGTGAAGTCCGCGAACCCGCACCCTACCAGCGTGGAGGACTATGGCCTAATCCTTGGCCCTTTGCATTGAAGGGAGTCCCAGTGGTGGGAATACAAAGCCAGAGAGATTTATTATTATTGTACATATATGATCAAGCAAAATATATCTAACCAGGCTTTTTTTGTAAAAAGTTTCTTATTTAGAATATATTCATAGAAAAATACTACTAACTTTTATTTACGCCTTCAAAGAAATGTCAGGCTTTCTATGTATATATATTTTGTATATTTAGAACCAGAAACAACGATATCGAGTGGCGCAGAATTATTCATACAGGCGGGATCTACAATCAATCTCACTTGTACAGTACGACACACCCCAGAGCCCCCTACTTCCATTACGTGGACTCATGGAGAACAGGTGCGTGTATGTAAAAATTAAAATGCATTGGGAAAGAAACTATGTATTTGTTGAAACTATATTTCTTACAGAAATAATAACTTTCAAGTATATTATTATTTCTTTAAAATGTTAATAATATTTATGATGGTAAAATTTCAAGCCAAGAAAGATATATTAAATAAAATTATCTTTTCGAATTTTATTGCGGATTTACTTTGATTTTTGGTTCCCGACGTTCCGAATGCTGTACAGCAATCATGATGACAGAAGAGAGAGACTTTCAAAACATCGGAAACCTGAAATAAAATTAAATCCGCGATAAAATCTAAAAAAAAAGTTTTATTTCGCCGAAATATTGTTATTTTAAAAATCTTTAATTGAGTCATCTACAATAGGTCAAGTCTTGTGGTATGCCGTTAGTCCTCAGGGGATAATTTTTCCTTAAAGACTCGACGAGTCGTCTTATCGGATTTACCGCTATTAAGACGATTAGTAAGGTCTCTTACCCTACTCATTTCTCACTCGAATACTAGTATTATTGTTCTGATTCAGTGGGAATATGCTGCTAGCATTATTTTTAGTTTTCTATGCGAAAATGATTTGTACATTTTTTATTACTGAGTCAGCGAGCAACGACATAATGGCCTGCCAAATTTCATCGAAATATATTTAGCAGTTTAAGCGTGAAATGTAAACAGAGGGACTCTGTTACTTTTACATTTGTAATATATGAATAATTTATTATACGTGACATTGGCGAAGTAATCTGTGCTCAGCTCGCTTAGAATCCATTAACAAGAAAATTGAATTGAATGCATAATGTATACAAATTTAAATTAATTTCATTCTATATTTAATAAAACAAAAGTTGTAACAAAATAATAAATTGAATGCAGTGGTTTAACTGTTTCACGCTAAACCACGTACTAAATTCTCCGGATGCTTTACAACTAATTCCGGACAGCTGGGTTTGACTTCGCACAATGCATTTCCACTTTATTGTACTGATTTCTGATATTCTCAGTCAATATCCTTGCACTATTAAATCTCAACTATACAATTAATTAAAAATTATTAGAGCAGATGTCACTATTTAGACGTTAAATTTCACATTATTTGATATACCTTTAAAGTGTTCAATTAATTTAAATTAAACTCATATAAACTACCTTTATTCGACGACAAGTATAGCTCCGTTTGTGGTGACCCTACTTGCTGTGCCAGTGGTCGCGGGTTCGAGTCCTGCTGGGGTCATTCATTTGTGTGATGAGCACCAATGTTTTTACTCCAGTCATGGGTGTTTATATTTATAATATGTATGTATTTAAAATTATATATGTGTACTATATCAAATGACAAAATTACTGCCTCGGTGGCGTAGTGGCTAGCATGTACGGCTGCACACCCGGAGGTCCTGGGTTCGAGTCCCGGGTCGGGCCAAGTTTAGTTATTGAGTCTTCCTGTATAGTAAGTCTCAGTAACAGCCCGGAGTTGGGAAGTTGGCGGTGTTTCACCCCCGTGCCTCGGAGAGCACGTAAAGCCGTCGGTCCTGCGCCTTAACTCTCACCGGTCGTGTCGAGTGGTCGTCCCACCGGAGTATGAGAGTGATAGGAATAGAGAGTGCACTTGTGTCTGCGCGTACACTTGAGCACTATAATATCTCCTGCGCAGTTGGCTAATCTCATTGAGATTGGCCGCCGTGGCCGGAATCGGCTAGGAGAACATCATCACTATATCAAATATCTGGTATCCATAACACAAGCCTCGTAACTTACCATGGAACTAGATGATGCTGTGTGTTAATCCAACATATTTATTTATTATTTATTTATTCGAATAGACAATAAACTTCGATTCAGCAAGAGGAGGTATTTCATTGGTGACAGAAAAAGGTCTTAAGAGTACCAGCCGTCTTTTGGTTCAACGAGCTCGAGGATCTGATGCTGGGGTCTACACCTGTGCACCAAACAATGCTCCACCAACTTCAATACGAGTTCATGTATTATCTGGTAAGAGGCTTTTAAGGTTATAAAAAGTAAATCAGTGTTAAACTTAAAACTAAGTCCAAATATAAATTATAATAATTTAATTCAATTCAACAAACATAATCAGAACAAAATTTGTTAGACATTACAAAAAAACTTTGAATTTATATTTAATTCATTATCAATGAAAAAAAAAATGTATGTAATATTTTTCATTTTCACGTAGAACATGAAGATTAAGCTTTTCATTTATAGTAGATTCCTACAAAAAATCTAATTGTTTAAAAAAATCAGCTCTAAAACCCTGAAAATAACTGTTACATACTTAGTAAGATTCTTTAATAAGAGAAATTTCCCCAAAAGAGATTAAATAAGCAGTAAATCTTGTAAAATAAGATCTTACGTCTAAGTTTTGATGCTACGGTCATAGATGTAACAACAAGTGCTAGAGAAGCAAAATAGTTAGTGGAACCATTAGAAAGAAGTTTTAATTGGAGTCTTCGTTATAACTTTAGCAAAGTGACATTACAGAAGTGCCTTTTGGCAAATGTTAGATGTGCAAAACAATAAGAAATGTACGTGGAAATCAGATAGCGCTCATTGCGTTAACTAACTTTTAAGATTTAAGTTCAATATTATAATTGTTAAGGTTTTATAACACAGTAAAATTTGCTTTTTAAATATAATTGGTTGGTTCTTAACTTTTTAAACACTTTAAAGTATAATAATTCAGAATATATTAATTATAAACAATTTTAAGCAGCGTGTGTTGAATTGTCGGAAAGAATAACAAAAAAACAAAAAGACAAAATAAAAAAAAACCGCAAAAATATCTGAAAATTATTCCCAACATTTGTGTAAGTTCAAAATCTCTCTCTCTCTCTCTCTTTTAATAAAATAGTGGGGAGGCAGTAGTAGTCCAGTGGTAGCGCACTCGCTTGGGAAACCGAGTGAGCGCGGATTCAAATCCCAGGTCTTAAACCTTTGATATTTTCATTTTCGAATCATTATCCAACATGATTACCACTTGTCTTACGGTAAAGGGAAACATCCTGACGAAAACTGAATATCTGAGAGAACCTAGCAAGTTTCCGGAAGACATGTGAAGTCTTCTTCAGACACACAAGAACTTCTACTACGCACTTGGCTAGCTGGACTATGCCTGAACCCCCTCATATTGAGAGGACCGTGCCCAGCTATTATTTCTGCGACATATTACATTAGTTCACGAGTCGTAAATAAAAAGGTTATGTTGCTTAGACTTAACATAAGACAGGTTTATTATTCGACTAGCGACTCACTCTTTCTCAATCCCCATACAAATTTTCATTCCCATTTTCACCCCCTTAAAGGATGATTTTTATACGTAGCTCTTATATATTAACTCTCTTTCAGGTGAATATCCGGCGGCAATGCAACAGGGCAGTGCGAAGTCGTGCTTAGATTTTTCTGTGACGATATACTTTTCAATATTAATTTTATACACAATATTCTTCTCAGATCATTTACAATTTGGAACTTAGATATAATTTTAACGTAATATAAAAAATAAAACATATAAAAGCCGGTCTAATAAAATTTGCTGTTCTACACATTTATGTCAAAATATTTGATATATTTAAGTGGACATATTGGTTTGAACTTTTAAAGCTTTACAAACGAATTTGACGCCCTCATGTTTCGAATAATGGGAGTGAAATTTAATTAACATGCCGCGTCGAATACCGTTTTTTGACGCACAAAGCTTAAATTGTGATATATTCAGAAAACTGTGTCCGAGTAATTCTACATCGAACAGAATATATCACGTTTTTGATAATCTTGTATTATAAGTTTGATTTATCGGCTTAGTATACATTTGTGTAATAAAATATCATTAGTACAAAAAAATTACGTAAGTACTGGTACTGATTTTATATTATCGCTATTTATTACATTAAAATCATTATATCATAAAGAAATATAAGAAATGTCTACTAAATTTTACTCTAAAATGTTATGATATATAAAAAATGTAAATATGTAAAAATAATGATAGTTTTATTTATGTATAGAGTAATTATATTTAATTATAATAATAAATTATTATAATTTTATAAAGATCAATGGAATTTACTCTAAGAAATGTATTATATATCGTCTAATACTAACGATTTCTTTGGTTGCTTAAAGTCAATAACGATCGTAGAACTTACTCAATTAGAAACGAAACAAATATTTTCTAATCAGTAATTTTCAAAATGTTAAGTTTCATTAGCATAAAAGCTTCCACAAAAATTCACTTCTCATACCGAAAGTTCCTTATATATATCCCCAAAGTATTGTAAATATGTATGTCTGCATGTATGTATGTCTGTGTTATGTTTTTAACAATAAAATACGACTTTGTAATTCTATACGAGTCAATTTTTACATTTTCTTCTTTATTTCTTTAATTATTGTTTTATTTAATTAATGGTACAGATATGTAGATTTTATGTTTTAATACATAAATAAATATATGTAGCTTTTTAAAGCTACATACTAACAGACGGACAAACAGCGAAGGCTTAATAACGGAATTCTAATTGGACTCTTAAGCATACGGAACCAAATATATAGAGCAATAAGAGCAAGAATATTTCAACATTTTCACAATATGTTCTGAGAGGTCAAACCAAAAAAGGTCGAGGAAACTTACGCACGTATCATTAGGTACATTTTTATTACGGCCTTTCCATTTATATGATTGATTAATGCGCTAGATATCAAAAGCATGACGACACAGTATTTATGTATGTCGATCTACAGTAATTTCTTTTCCAATACATATTATAACCGGGAATCAAACCTGTTAAATTCTAATAAGATGATATTCTACTAACGGTTAATAATAAAAAATATATATTATTTTTTATATATTTTTTAATTTTTTTCTCCTCAATTATTTTTATTTTTATATCTTGTCTAATATAATATGTAGATAGACTACATCGATACAAGTAAATAAGTAAACGAAAATCATTTTAGAAGACCAGTCAAGTGTTTTATATAACATAAAGTAAAATTATTCATATATTGACTTTAAATATAAACAAAAAGACCGTAGATTTTAAGATATTAGTGAATTTTGTTAAACATCTTTACTTCGACAGCACATAATAAATTGGCAAAAAAGGAAAACGCGTTAACGAACTGAGATGAACGAAAACCGATAAATCACAATCCAATTACTAAGAAGGAATGAGCGGATGAAGAATATTTTGGCAAATATTGTTTCGGAAATTAATTGAAATATCGCTGTTAAATTCATAGAATTAATAATTAAATAATATTGGCATATTATATCTGCTGGTCCAATTAACAAATAAAAGGATTATTATTAAAAGCCATATCTATACAGCATTTATACATTTAATAAAATTCTATCTGATCTATCTGAACCGAATCTGTACTTTAAATATTTTTTGGAAAATCTTATTGAAATAGTTATTATTATCGACACAGAGGCCTAATCTATAGTTTTTAGAATTTTTGTCTATCTATCTGTCTGGGAACGCGTTACGAAAAAACCACTGAATAGATTTTGATGAAATTTGGTATGATAATGGTTATCCTGGTCAACATTTAAGTTACTTTTTACTGCGGGAAAATATCTCATCTCTGAGAAATCTATACTAACCTTAAAACGTAGGGACGAACCCGAGCGGAACGAGGGTGAATCGCTAGTAATAAAATTAAATCATTGTTTTTATAAATATATCCGAAAATAACATTAAAATTTAAGTAATAATATAAAAAATGTTTTAAAAGACAAAAAAATCGAAAGTGCATACTATAAGACTTCCGCGATACCATTCAGACAAAGAGAGACAATAGCATTCCCAAGGAGAGTTGACGTCAGGCAGGCGGCCGGTCGTTAAACTTTTGCCAAATCCTATCAGCAGTACAGAAGATGTACTGCGCCGACCCCAAGTGATTGGGAAATGGGCAGCGAGAAGAAGATTGTTTTTATCATTTAGAACAGCATATTAAATAACCGTTTTATTTATCTCAGAAAAAGGAATTGCCACATATTATTAATTTACTTTCACTTGCATTTAGGGTTACCTTAAAAGCTTATTTAAATAAAGGTCATGAATCGGGAATCAATCCCGTATCAAGTAGAATATATTTGTTAGCAGCTATCTTGTTTAAGGAGGAAGAGTCTAATATATTGTTTATACAGAAAGGACGGACGGATTTTTATTATTATAGATTTTCTATTGGCATGTTCGTAATAAGTGTCTTTATCTTTAAGGAATAAAGCATTCAATGTTTGTAAAACTATTTCTAATACTAAATTGTTATAATAAGTATATATAACATAATACTAACATCATGTTTAACTAGAAGTTATTTTGTCAATTAATTTAAAATTTCTCTATAACTGTTTCTTCTACAAATAAATTGTACAAAGTGTTTGAAGAGAATGTAAATATTTGGTGAAATAGAAATCTTTTATAAAGCTGCTTGAGTGTTCTTTACAACCTTTTAGACCCATATAAAACATAAACATTTAACCGGATACGATTTTTATATTTTTGAAATATTGTAAGCTTAGGTGAAAACTAATTCAATATAGGTACTATTTATTGATGAAAATATTTATTAGTAATCGTATAATAAATAAATAAAATAATTATAGCCTCTGTGAAGTAAATTTATAAAATAAATATCTGTTTAGCTTTTATTAACAGATTCATAAATATAAAAAAATGGGTGCGTTTACGCGCAGTTGAAGTTAAACATTCTTTCTTTGGCAAATATCGAAATTAAATTATAACAAATCAATAATTAAATACGGCATTTTCGACATATTACAATTATATATTTATAGAATATCTTATATGGAGAGAATATAATATTATATATCATTTGACAGACAATAACAACGGTTACCATGGCAACAATTAGTCATAATAACTTTTATTTAATTTATGCACATTCATCCCATAGTAATAAAATATTCATTTTTAAATTTAAATATTCAGTTTTCGAATTCTCATGCAGTTTTTCTTTGCATTATTCCACGCAAAATATGGTTGGTATTTTCCACGCTCGGGCATAAGCATCGTGGTCAAGCGGCCAAGGTGCAAAATCAACAATCACAGGTGTCGAGGTTCGAATCTCGATCGCATACAAAGTTTTACTTTTGTTTTTTTTTATATTAATTCAAGTTTCTAGTTTAAAAAAAAAGAAAATTGTACTTTAGGCCAAAAACTCCGAGCGAAGCTCGGTAGCCCAGGTACTAATAAATAGCCCACCAGACTTTTTTACCAATTTGATCAAAGGTTTAGGATCGCATAGGCGACAGACATACGAACATTTATTTTTATTTATGTAAGTATATAGATAATATTTTTTATCTCTGTGAAAAAATAGTGTAAATATATGAAATACATAATTATTTTGAATTTAATACTTATACTAAATAATTTTGTTGTAAACGTTCATGTGTTAAGCAGCAAATATAAACAATAATAAATGTTTATTGTTTTGTTGTAGAATTAGTTTAAATTATTACTTAATGAGCAAACATTAATTTGTACTGTAAGTCGAATTCCTCCTAAAATATAAGTCTTCAGTCTACTCAAATATATAAAGGTACGTTAGCAATTAATTACGTGTTGTTTAAGCGAGAATTTTCTTAATGAACTTCTAATTAAAATATTTTATAAATTTGTTATTCAGTAAAATTACATTATATATTTATTTACTAATAATGTAGTAAATATTACAGAAAAATCTATATAATATAAATATGTAGGAAATAACTTTTTCTCATAAGTTTCTCAATCGTTTTTTTTTTTATTTAGTAGCTTTAGTGCTATCAATGAACAATACACCATTTTATTTTGCTAATTTTGAACAGCTGTTCTGCCACGAATTATGTAGAGTTGGATAGTGAATTTTTTTTATGACCTCGAAAAAACACCTTAGATATCTTTATTTCGTTTTGACGAGTCCCATTCGTATTTTTTTATTTTTATTATCTTAAATTGTGAGGAAACCTGTACGTTTGAGAGAACTTAACCAAAAAGTTTTCTAAAGACATGTGACTTCCGCCAACCCGCACTAGAACGTGGTGGTCTATGGCCTGATCTGCCTCATATTAAAGGGAATCCCGTGCCCTGTAGTGGGACCTTAAAAAGGGCTCAATACATGTTAAAATAGCACATTGTCTTAAAATCACCCTTCATTCATAAAAGAACAATTCAACGTAATGTACTTGATTTATATAACACTTTAAACTTTGCCGTACTTAATTACGAGGTCGGACGTGCTTCAGAACTACAGTGTACTATTAGAATGGCGGAGTTTCTGAAATGTTACACATTGATAAATTAGTGTTTTGCACCCAGTTCCCAAACTTTCGATGCGTAAAAACCTCATGCAAGTTTCGGTGTGTTGAAATTATTTCATTATGTCATTATTATAATATTACTAGCGACTCACCCTCGCTCCGCTCGGGTTCGTCCCTAGTGAAAATTTATGTTTG